TTCATGTACAGCTTGAGATTTTTATTTGCCTTAACTGATCTTTTTATTCCATAAGTTTAATTTTCTTTACCAGAATTTATATATCTTTATTGAATTCCCCATGTCCTGTGTTGTCTTGTGGTCTATTAGTATTCACTCAAGTTGTATGTATTCTTGAAATTTTCTTGTCATTTTTATAATCAATTTGTTACTTATTTAAGATTTTGCCTATGAGGCTGGGAAGGTGGCTCAGTGGTAAGTGCTTGCCTTGCATGCATGAGGCCCTGGGTTCTATTTCTCAGCACCACATAAGCAGAAAAGGCCGGAAAGTGGTGCTGTGGCTCAAGTGGTAGATTGCTAGCCTTGAGCTGAAGAGCTTAGGGTCAGCACCCAGGCCCAGAGCTCAGGCCCTACAACCGACCAAAAAAAAAAAAGAAAAAAGAAAAAAGATTTTACCTTCTTCAATATTGTTGTTTGTTGCTAAGGAGTTGTTGAGTTTTAGAGAGGTCATATTGCCTTTTTTCTTTCTTTTTTCCAGTCCTGGGGCTTGAACTCAGGGCCTGGGTACTGTCTCTGAGCTTATTTTGCTCAAGGCTAGCACTCTACTACTGGAGCCACAGTGCCACTTCTGGGTTTTTTTCTGTTTATGCAGTACTGAGGAATCGAACCCAGGGCTTCATGCATGCTAAGCAAGCACTCTACCACTAAGCCACATTCCCAGCCATTGCCTTGTTTTTTCATATTTCTTGTTTCCTATTTCTATATTTGAACACATTTCTATATTTGCACATCTGGTGCTAAGTGGTTGCTTAGAGATTGTAACCACCTCTAATTCTTCACTTGAAGTATTCATAGTGTTCATGATGGACAGTGTGGTGCACAGTCTGAGGTAACATTTCTTACTATCAGCTGAATATATGCTCAGCAGCCAATCATTGCCCTCATATTTCAGGACACCAGCCCTGAACCTCAGCCCTGTTCAAATTGAGGTAAACTGGCTAGAGTCTGTTAGAAGGTTGGTTGCTTGCTGTTGGATGCTTTCACTTCTTTGTATGCTGGTAACCATTGTTGGAAACAGGGTAATTTACTGGCTGTAGACCAAGCAGGTTCACATTTGCTCCACAAACTTCTCAGTTTGTATTTCCAGGGGTGGCAAGCTCCCAAACTCAAGTGTGTCCCCCCAAATATGGCAGAGAATATGGGAGGCAAACATTGACTTCTGTTCTGGCAGGGGGAAAACTGAAGAATTGAGTCACTTTTCCTGCTGGTCTCAGTGCTTTCAGACCCTGCCCAGTTTACCTCTCTTCATGGAGAAAAGGCTGTGGAACTAATATTGTTCAAAGAGCATTGGCCTAAGGTTTTGAGTCCTTCCTGGCAACAGACCCTTGCTGGGAAGCTGTTCCCAGAGGCAGCTCTTAGTGTTTTCATATGCTGCCCAGCAATTCACATTCCCTTCTGGAGGAGAAAGCTATGACTATCATATGGTTCAAAGAGCTTAGACTCAGGGTTCTCAGTCCTGCCTGGTAACAGCAAACCCTCACCAACATACTGGTCCTAATATTTTCAGAGGCTGCCCAGCAATTCACTTTCCCAGTAGGAGGGTAGGTTGCAGAAGTCACATAATTGAGAGGAAAGGCTGGACTTAGGACTTTCCAACACACTTGTAAGCCACATGTAACCAGGAAGCCAGTCCTGAAAGCCAATTACTATACCAACCATGAACTCAGTTCTTTGTTTCTGCCATTATTCTCAGGCAGTAAGATTTGCTCCTAACAAAGGAGGGCAAAGTCTCTACCCATTATTGCCTTTGCTGCCTGAAGTCTCCATTGTTTCTTACAGCAGGATCATACCTGAGCCTTGTTTATTGCTGTTTTTCACAATGTCCCAGAGTAGTTTGGTCTTAAGTCTCCATCCCAAAATGCTATCTTGCTAGAGCAGTCTAAAGACTAACAAAATGTCTTTTTTTTGGGGGGGGGGGAAAGGGGGAGAAGGGGCAAAGCTAGCCTTCTACAATTGAGTAGTAAGTCTCACAAAATCCTGAACTGTGTTTAAGTCTTGCAGGTAATATGGACTTAATGCTACATCTAGAATTAAAGTTGTCTCTAAGGTTATCTGGCTTACCTTGTTGCTGTGTCTTCAGGTCCGCTCACTCCTGGGGAGCTTGGGACAGGGCTTGTGATTACTTTGTTTTTCCATTTTTGCTTTGTTTCTGTGTTGTTTTCAAATTCGTTTGCAATTTCCAGTGTTCTTCCTTTCTCTTTAAAATATAGTGTCTTCTTTGTTACTTGTTTTTTTCTCAGTCGTGGAGTCACATTTACAATCTGCCATCTCACCTCATCTCCACTGATCTGATTTCTTCTTCTTGCTGCTTTTCCACTTATATATACTAGTACCTTTAACATAAAGCCTACTGGGAGTACAGGACCAACAACTCTGTGTTTTGATATGAATAGCAAAATATCTATATACTATCATTTTTCCTTAAAACAGAAGATCTTAAGTATAATCTTGCAGGTACTTGAAGCCATTCTTGGGGTCTTTGAAGTTGAAATTATTTTATAATAATAAGTACATAGTAGAATTTTTCAGATATCACCTGATTTACTTATGTATACTTGTGTTTTAAAACTCTTAGGTTGGGTGCAGTAACTCACACCTGTAATCCTAGCTATTCAGTTGAAATCAGAAGGATCATGATTAGAGGCCAGCCTGGGCAAAAGACCCTATCTCAGCCAAAAAAGCTGAGCATGGTGGCACATGCTTGTTATCCCAGCTATATGGGAATCATAAATAGGATCATAATCCAGGCTAACCTGGGTCTTATGTGAGACCCTATTTGAAAGATAATAAAAGCAAAAAGGTGGGCCAGGAGCTTGTCTCAGATGGTAGATAGAACAGGCGACTGCTTTGCAAAGCCTTGAATTCAGACATCTTTACCACCAAAATAACTCTATAATTTTCTTAGCTTTTTTGTTGTTGTGTTAGTTGTGGGGCTTGAATTTAGGGCCTGGGCATTGTCCTGAGATCTTTTGCTTAAACACTTTACCACTTTGAGCCACACTTCCAGTCTCTCTGTGGTTAATTGAAGATAAGAGGCTCATGGGGACTTTTCTCCAGGTTGGCTTTGAACCACAGTTCTTAGATCTCAGCCTTTTGAGTAGCTAGAATTACAGGCAAGAGCCACTGGCACCTGGCAACTTTCTTAGGTTTAATTTATAAATCAGTAAATTACAAATGACAGCTATAATCTATATATAAATAAAAGTCCTCTCAGTTTCTCAATAATTTCTAAGAATATATATGGATCCTGGAGCTGAAATAGTTTGGGAACTTGTGGAATCAAAGTATTTAATATCTTGAAGATCATTTCTTCTTCTTTAGTCATCAAGAATCTGAGAAATTTGGCTTGGAGAAAATGCACAGGATGATTCTTGTCTGGTTAGTTCCCCTCAACTTGAAAGTATCTAGGAACAGATTCAAAGTACAATTAAAGTAATTACCTAAGGTTCAGATTCAAAGTAAGATCATAAGTAATTACTTAATGGACTAACATTTCCCAGGTCTAGTTGAGGTATGATTATTTATAAAAACAATCTAGTGCTTGTATTATTAAGGGAACCTAGGTAGAACTTACTCCTAAGTTTTACTTCCTATTATGTCATTCCAATTTAAGCAGGTAAGACAACTCTGCTTAAAAATCAGTGGTCTTATTATTCAAGGCACATTGTATTCATAAATTGCTTTGTTGAATGGCAACTCCTTTGTACAACTACTAGAAGATAATTTTTTTTGTCAGTCATGGGGCTTGAACGCTGGACTTGGACACTGTCCTTGTGCTCTTCAACTCAAGGCGAGCACTGTACTACTTGAGCCACAGCACCATTTGCATTTTTTCCTAGTGGTTTATTGGAGATAAGAGTCTCACAGACTTTCCTGCCCAGGTTGGCTTTGAACCATGATCCTCAGATCTCAGCCTACTGAATAGCTAGGATTATAGGCATGAGCCACTGGTGCCGGCTTGAAGACAATTTTTTAATAGTGGTCTTTTTAAAAAAGGATGATCTTGATCTGGGTGCTGTGGCTCACCTAGCTTCTTGGGAGACTGAGGTGAAAATTAAAGCCTGAGGCCACCTCAACTAATATATGTGAAACCCCTTCTCAGCCCATAGCTGGGTAAATTGGTGTATATGTGTTTTTCTAGCTACATGGGAGGCTGAAACTAGGAGGATCACAATATCTGTCATCCCAGCTATATTAGAAAGCCTAAAAATAGGCAGATTTCCATCTAAGTACAAGCTCAGGCAAAAAGTAAGACTCTACCACAAAACAACCAGTGCAGAAAGGGGTAGAGTGTGGTTTAAGTGGTACAGTGCCGACTTCGCAAGCATAAGGCACTGCGTTCAAGCCTCAGTACCACAAAAAATAAAAAAGATTTATGTTCCTCTTTAACCACCAGTTTTCAACCAAAGACTAGCAGGTATCTAGACTAGCAGGTATCTAGAGTACAAAGTTTTGTTTCATTTTTAGGGTTCATGCACATCAGAGAAACAATGAAATGAACATAAACCTGAATAAGCACATTATCACATCATTTTTAAAAAGGGCAAACTCTTATTTGGAATAATAGTAACCTTTTTATCAAAGGAAATACATTTAAAAAGTAGACGTTTGTATACTTCAAGCTGATTTAAATTGAGGCAGAATCTCTTTGGGTGGAGAGAGGGCTGCTGGTCCTGCGGCTTGAACTTAAGCTCTTTTGCTCAAGCCAAGCACTCTCACTTGAGATACAGTGCCACTTTCACCTTTTTTGGTAGTTAATTGGAGATAACAGTCTCACAGACTTTCCTGCCTGGGCTGGCTTGGAATCACAATTCTCAAGTCTCAGGCTCTTGAGTAACTAGGATTACAGGTGTAAACTACTGGCACCTGGCCAGAGTATCTTTAATTTGTAAATGACTGCTATAGAAAATTTCCTATTGTATTTATATTTTCCCTTGTTTTGTTTATTTTTCATTCTATAGAGTATCTATAGAATCATTTAAGCATGGAGCCCTGAGAGAACAACTAGCTAACTTGGCCACAAGACAAAAGAGCCTTTTGCTTGCAGCAAAAAGGCAGAAAATAATAAGACAGAAAATTCAAAGCTGTAAGAATGTGACATCCTTTTCTTTAAGGACATTGCCATCTGGTTCGGACATCTCTGGTAAAAAGGACAACAAAAAGCTTACCAGTCTGGAAAATTCAGTGCATCTCCAATCTGATTCACTTTCTGCTGTCAACCTTGCCTGTAGAAGCATGCAAGAAACATCATTGTCCCTGAAAACTTGGAATGATAGCCAAAATGCTAACACTTGTCTAAACCCAGAGGTAGTAAGAGAAGAATTTTCTGGAACTGAGATGAATTCTAAACGAATTGTCAATAATTCTATGTTAGATGACTTACCAAAATCCAGACATTTGGATGGCACTGATAAGATTGAATTACCATCCCAAACTGTTGCTTTTATTGCTCAAGCAGAATATTCACAAAAAGAAAATGATCTTACAGAAGCTACAGCCAAAGACCATGGATTGTATACTCCGACCATAAAATATGGCACATTAAGTATTTCAGAGTACACAAGCATACTTTCTCAAAATGATGTCTGTCCCTCAGCTGTTGACAGTAACTATGACACTTCCCAATGTGATCCAGAAAGAAGAAACAGGAAAACAGCTCCCCACCAACTATCTGGAGGGGTATCAGAGTCCCTGGCACAGCAAAGGGTTGCTGCCCTAGGCACTGATGCTGCACATCAGATGAAAACATACCTTAAAAAGCCATCTTCTGCTGTTCCACATTTAAATAACACCCAAATCTCTCCTACTTCTGGGTCTGGCAACCAGCATGCTATGAAAAAGCCTTTAAACTATACCACAGCTCCTAAAAAGAGAAATATGCAGATAAAAGATTTGATATTACTAGGAAGAATTAACCCAGGAAATAACATTCTGGAATTCAAAACACAGGTATCCTATTATTATTTAAAATCATGCAAGTTTTATAATAAGTTAATGTTGCTGTAACACAGTTTAAGCATTTAGGGAAATAGGATCTGGATAGTCTTCCAGAATGGACAGACATACCATTATATTATTAACAAGTGGAATCATACTTCTAAAATCACCCAGATACATTTTAATCGTAAACATCTGTGGATTTTCAACTAGTCCAAGCTAACCATAAACTCAAACTTCCTGCCTGTACCTCCTCAATGCTGTGATTACAGAAATGAACCACTATACCCATTATGAGAAGTTTTGTTTTATTGATGACTATTAAGACTAGCTGGTTTCTTATATTCACATCCTGGCTTTCTTTATTTACCTTCTACCTTCTGCCTATTTAAGGAGATATATTCTTCCTTAATAATAGAAGGTACGGAAATGCACAACTATTGATTTTTGTCTGTTTCTTTCATGACTTGTATTTATTTTTGCCTCTTTTTTGTGCCTTTCTTTTTCTTTCTTTGAGCTTTGAACTAAGCACCGTTCACTTGCTAGGCAGACACTCTCTGACTTGGGGTAGGCCCTCAGCCCTTTTTGTTAGTTTTCAGGCGTAATCTTGTATTTGTTGCCCGTGCTGGTCTGGAGCATGATCCCCTCCTACTTGGCGCCTCTCATATAGCTGGGATGACAAGTATACACCATCACACCCACATTTTTTTATTTGAAAAGGAGGTTCACTATCCATTTTTCTTAGTTGGCCTCAAATTTTCCCTATGTCTACCTCCCGAAATAGTTTTTGTATTTTAAGTGCTATGTTTAGAATTATTATACTTTTTTGATTCATTGACCTCTTAGCATTATAAATGTCCCTGTTTATATCCAGCAATAGTTTTGTTTTATAGTCTATTATTTATTTTCTTTTTTTGGGGGGTGGGGGGGCCCAGTCGTGGGGCCTGAACTCTGGGCCTGGGTGCTGTCCCTCAGCTCTTCAGCTCAAGGCTAGCACTCTACCAATTGAGCCACTGTGCCACTTCTGGCTTTTTTTCTTTTTGCTTATGTGGTGCTGAGGACTCGAACCCAGGGCCTCACCCATGCAAGACAAGCGCTCTACCACTGAGCCACCTTCCCAGCCCAGTCTATTATTTATTATACCAGTATAATTTTCCAATTCTCACATGATTGCTGTTGATATGATATATATTACATCTTTTTACCTCTAATTTACTTACCTGAATATTTCCTGTATATATTATATAGTTGGAGCTTGTCTTCTTTTCATCTATTCTAACAATATCCACCTTTTGATGAGGTTATTGAATTCATTCACATTTAATGTTATTTGAATTTGAGGCCTTTTTTTCCTTGATATTTGGATTTAAACTCAGGGCCTCATGTTTACTTAGCTTGATTGCTCAGCTGATTCTCTGCTAATTGAGCCATGCCTCCATCCTTACTTTTTGCTGGTTATTTTACAGATGACGTTTTATGGATTTTTCTGCCTGCCTTGGTTTCAAGCCATAATCCTCTAGATCTCAACCTCCTGAATAGCTAGGATTTCAGGCATGAGCCATGTTATGTTTTATTTGCTCCCTCACACTGAAATTTGCCTTTTAAAATGCTGGGTACTTTTCTTTTCATATATACACTGGAAATTTGTTATGGAATATACTTAAATTACTGGGAAACAGTTTGATCCTTTTGGGTCTTATTTTTAAGCTTTGTTTAAACAGAACTGGAACAATGTCAAATGTAGGACTATTTCCATTATTTCCAGTACTGAGACATGATTCTTCCATGTACCCTACTGATGCCCCATCAGATTTGAGGGGTTTTTTTTTCCTAGTCTTGCTATGAATAAGAAACCCTGTTCCCTGCCCTGTGAAAGTTCCAGATATAATTACTTTTAGTACTTTCATGTGGTTCTTTAGTCTAGCCCTGGACAATTTCCTCACACATATATGCAGACTACTGCTCAGTTGAATAAGAAAAACTTTATATTCAACCTTATATTCCTTATATTAAGAGGAAAACCTTTTAATAAAGAGAACCTTGCAAAGATCTAAAGTTTTCTCTCTTTCTGTTTCTCTGTTCTTCAGTACTTTGTCCTAGTAATTCTCACCTCCTTTGTCTTTAAACACTTATCTCAAGGAATACACAGGCTTTTCATGGATTTTCTTTCCTTGTACCATGATATGGAAATTTTCTCAAGGCAGTAAGTTGGAGCAATGTAGAGCCCTTCACAGTAAGTTCTCCCACTTCAAAGAGGCCATTTGTGGCCTGATATTTGGCATCTTGTAAACTATTGTTTTATATATCTTTCATCAGTTGTTGGTTATGTCAGGTGTAAATCTTGTCTATACTATTTTATCATGGTCAGGAGCAGAAGTTCACACATTTTAGCAAATTTTTTCTTAATTTTTATTTTATTTTTTTTATTTCAGGAGACTATCCACAAAGCTAGTGTTTTATTGAATGGTAAACTTCAGGTAGAAAATGGTCAGATTTATTTAACTCCAGTGACCTGGCTCAAGGATCTTCTGGGAGATGACATTTACGTGACCTGGTATTATGCTTGGAGTAAGGTACGTTAGTCTTGAATTTATCTTTAACTCATACTCAAATGCAAATACACATTGTTTTTAGGATAAGACAACTTTTTTAAGAAACCTGGCAGATCTCTGAAGTAGTTTTTATCCTCACATGTATGTTACTTGCTTTCTCCCACAACTCCTTTTGCCAAAATTCCTGTGAGTATAGTTACACACCTGACTGCACCTTTCCTTCCTTGTTCTTTATCTAGTCTTAGAATGTTTATTGCTACCAAAATCCCCCTCAACAGAAAAAAATAGCATGGTGGCTCATGCCTGAATTCCTACCTTTGGTAGGAAATTTATATAGAAGGATTACAGTCCAGGGTGGGCTATGCCAAAAGCCAGACCTGTCTCAAAATAAAAGGCTAGAAGTGTGGCTCAAGTGATAGAGTGCCTGCCAAAGGCCCCAAGTTCAAGCCCCATTACCAGCTTCTCCCTGCCAAAGAAAATATATGCTGTTTTTCCTTAAAAAGAAGTACATTTTTAAAAACCTGTGTTTTGTATGTCTGAATTACCTCTTGTGGCATATGTAAGCCACTATATTTTACTTATTATCTCACATTATTCAGAAATAACTGATAAATACATATTTAAAGTATGAGATAAAGGTGCATACTAGCCTGCTCTTTACATGAGTATAATGTGCATTGGACATTGTCAGGACATAACAGATATAAAATCCATTGTTTCTAGTTATTGGTTATTATTCAGTGACTTTTCCTTCCATAGTAAAATAAGGAAGAATTAGCACCCTGAGCAGGACAGGCAAGTCCCATTTTCTTTATCAGATTTTTCCTTACAGACTCTCCATACATTCCTCACTGTGAACAATTTAATGAGCATTTATTGATCACTGAGGATGTACCAGATGGTATGCCAAGTGCTTTTTAGGCATCATCTTAATAATTTAATAAACTGGAGGTACTTTCAGATGCACAAATTGAGACTTGAAATGTAAGACTTTGTTTAAGGATTGGGACATAAGAATCTTTTATTCTATAATGTTAGGCACAGTATGAAGTGCTGAAGGAATAAAAATAAATAAAGATAAGCCATGCCTCAAGAAGCTATGGTTTGATGAAAATGGGGCACATTAAATCATTTAAATGGGATAAGAGTGACAGGAATAGGAATTAGGAAATTGGATCTCCTGTCATAGAGGAGGATCATTACTGAAGTTTATTGATTATAGGAAGATATCCCAGAGGAAGGGATGTTCAGTTTGAGATATGATGTTTTGCCTATAGTGAACAAACCTTCTGGGGGGTATATTATTAGGTTATCTTAGACCTAAGGATGGAAAACCCAAAGATCTTGGTTTCTGGCATGTATTTGCCAGTTTGCCTCTGCTCTTCCCTTTCCTGCACAGGTATTTGTCATCTCTGATAACACATTTTTAATGGATATAGAAACCTAAAAGGTTAGTAGTCTAATCAGATACATTTGGTTTCTTGAAAAGTACCATTACTTTTATGAGTCAATTTTATTATAATAATTTTTAAGTTGCAAATTAGAGGGTTCTAGACTATAGATTGTTAAACAGATGAGGAGCTGGGAAGGTGGCTCAGTGGTAGAGTGCTTGCCTTGCATGCATGAGGCCCTGGGTTTGATTCCTCAATACCACATAAGTAGAAAAAGCTGGAAGTGGTGCTGTGGCTCAAGTAGAAGAGCTGAGGGACAGCACCCAGGCCCAGAGTTCAGGCCCCATGACTGACAAACAAAAAATCTGTTGTAAGATACTGAGAGAATAAAAAATATCATTTAAAAAAAAAGTAGATTGTTAAACAGATGAATCTATGAGACTATTAATGATATAAAACACAGATCAACCCAACCATATTTTCTTAAAGGAGTAGATAATAAATAATGTTTTAGGTTTCATAGGTGCATTGTGCCTGTCATAACTCCACTATAATGTAGCACAAAAACCAGCAATGTTAATGATTGCATATCACTATATCTCAATTTTTTTTGAAAAAAGAAAATGTAGGGGAAATGGGAGGGAGGAAGGAAAGAAGGAAAAAGAGGAAAGAAGGAAGGAAGGAAAGAAAGAAAGAAAAAAAGGAAGAAGGGTGGGCCAGATTTGGCCATGGGCTTGTTGTATGACAATTGGTATCAGTCAGTACTTTGCTAACATTGTAATTTTTAAGAGATTGGTCTATTTACCTCCTACAAAATGCATGATTTTCTAAAGTTCTGCTTTTTAACTGTGTGTAGATAACATATCTTGGAAAGGAACTTTTAAGGTATGTTTCTGAGGAAGGGCCTTTACCTTCAGAACAAACTGTGCTACTTCAACAACAACCTTGTCATTCAGGTATGTGTAGCCCATTTCTTAGTTGTGGAATGAATATACCCTACCTAGAAAACAAAACAAAACATTGCTTTAGTCTTTTTTTCCATTAAGGTATAATTCAAAATTAGCTGTTACGATTAACTATTTCTCCACATTCTTGTTTTCCCTACCACAGTTGATTTTAGGAGAAATTGAGAAATAATACCATCCCTCATGATTCCATCCTCTGAATCTCTTCTGTTATTGCCTTGGGTGATTTTTTAAATGTATGCAAAATAAAAAAGTATTTCTTTCTAAAACTTCATTTAGTTTAACCTGTTTCTAAAAATAGATAATAAAATAAGTATTTTTATTCGGAGAAACTAAGGAAGATACAATCTCTACCAATGAATAGTAGATTCAGATGCAGTCCTTGAAAGGATTTTTTTTTTGGGGGGGGGGTCCGGTCGTGGGGCCTGAACTCTGGGCCTGGGCACTGTCCCTCAGCTCTTTAGCTCAAGGCTAGCGCTCTACCACTTGAGCCACAATGCCACATCCGGCTTTTTCTTTTTGCTTATGTGGTGCTGAGGAATCGAACCCAGGGCTTCATGCATGCAAGGCAAGCGCTCTGCCAGCCCCCCTTGAAAGGATTTTAATTTTGAGAACACAATTATTAAAAAAAACAAAATGACTTTATGTTACCTCCTCCTAAATAATGCCCCTACTTTTATTCCAGTGTCCTTATTTTTCCTGTCACTTGGGGGAACAATTATAGGTAGAGAGGAGGTGTCAAACAGAAAATAGTCATAGTGTGATAATCAAGAGCAAGAGCAAATAGGATTTTTAGTAATAACTTTCTACCCCTGGGCATCCTGGGATTATTACTTTCCTTAAAACAAGGTCCTATAATTCAAATTACCTTTTTAAAATCTTAGTTTCATACCTAACACACCCTACCTCTTTAGAATCCTGCTTTGTCTCAGAAAATAAGCTTCATGGTAGAATACATTCTCCCTAATTTTCTAAGCCATCCTCAAAAGTGCTTTTCTTCATTTCTGAGAAACTATGATCTAGGAGATCAGGTGTCAGCAATAATCATGGAAAGCTAAAGGCCTTAAGACACTGGATAGAGTTCTTATAGTTATTCATGACCTTAGATCTCTAATGCTGAGTCCAGATCTACTTAATCAAATCTTGGGATAAAGGCCAATAACCTGATGATATATATCAGATTATATGATATATATTATGTATAACAGATGGTATATATTAACATTTTATAAAACAAATAGCAGCTTTACTATCCAGTTTATTCAGATAACATCTTTGATTGATGATATCAAGAAATCCTGAGTCTAGAAGATAATACCTTTAAACGTTCTTAGAGCCAGGCGCCTGTAATCCTAGCGACTCAGGAGGCTGAGATCTGAGGATCACCATTCAAAGCCAGCCCTGGGAAGGAAAGTCCATGAAACTCTTATCTCCAGTAAACACTCAAAAGACCGGAAGTGGCGCTGTAGCTCAAGTGGTAGAGCACTCGCCTTGAGCTGAAGAGCTGAGGGACAGCGCTCAGGCCCAGAGTTCAAGCACCATAACCGACAAAAAAACAAAACAAAACAAAAAACATTCTTAGTATGACATTTAAGACTTTATTCACTGAATAAGACATGACGGAAAAACCTTCTTCTGAGTTTTACACACACACACAAAAACCCAATTGAATGGGTAAGTCAATGTATTGATGAACTTTAATGTTGAGATGTGATGTTGAACACATCTGAGGGTGCATGTTTGTAATTAAGAGTTTTCAATATAAAAACACAAACTTTTGAAACATAATTTTGTCATTGAGATTCCTGAAACATTTATGATATCCAAAATCTTTTTAACTTTTTTATGGTTCCTTTTCCCTGGAATTTCACAATGTTTTTCCAAGACTCTGCTTCATGTCTACTTGGCTGTAGTATTTTCTAATTTAAAAACTTTATTTTTGAATATATAACATATGTACATGATCCAAAATTCAAAAGATACAGACAATATGCACTGAAGTCATTTCTATCCTTCTTCCCAGAGGCAATGAAAGCTATCAGGCTGCTATGTAGTTTTCCTGAGATTCTAGACATAAGCAAGTCATTTCTGTATTATTAAGAGAACCCTTACTAATATTTCAGAATGAACTAAAAAGCAAAAAAGAAGAACATTCTCAAACTTCTACATAATTTGTGATCATTATAGATAAACACATAGACATACTTTCACAAAGTTATTTTTAAAATATTCTGCTAAGACGGATCACGTTCTACTTTTTTACTTGGAAAGCCAATATATTTTATTTTTTTTTTATTGTGAAAATACTGTACAGAGAGGTTACAATTACATGGGCAAGATAATGAGTACATTTCTTATCAAGCATTGTAGCCTCCTCCTTTGTTTCCCCTTCCCATCCTCTTCCCCCCACCCCCACCCCGTCCCCCTACCGAATCCTCCACCCTCCTCCTCCCGCCTCACCAAAGTTGTAAAGTTCATTTTTCGACATAACGACTTGTACATCTCATTGTTGCAGGGTTTCTACCTCTATCCCTATTTAAACGATTTGTTTTTTCCCTTCCCCTCCACAAATTATACCAACATCAAATACAGTGAAGGGGGGGGGGTTATACCGTGGGGGAGGGACATACGAAGCAACAAAGAAATAATCTTATAAATATGTTAGAAACAATCGCATGAAAGAAAAAAACATTTGAATAGGTATCTTAGGGTTCATTTCCCTAACATCAACTTGTCTGACCGTTTCTGCTTGTCTCAGACATATACTAGTTATTGCAAATAAGGGAAACCATGGGACCTATGTTTCTTTGGGCCTGTCTTACTTCACTTAATATAATTTTTTCCAAGTCTTTTGGAAAGCCAATTTTATGTACTTAAGTTCTTTGTTACCATAGTGCCAAGATATGTATGTGGATATATATATACAAAACATATATTATGTATATTGTGAAGTCTTTTCCATAGCCAACAACTATAGCATATTAGTTATGTATTCCATGGAGACCTAACATCATTTATTTACTTGAAAACAGAACATGCTTTCCCAGGAAAAACAAAAACATGATTTTCCAGGTTTTAATGCAGTGATCTGTGACCTACTAATAATCTGTTGTTCATTTCAGTGCTGTTAACTGTGTTTCCTTTCTCTGCAAAAGTATGTAACAGAGAATAAATTTTCACAGGTGCTTCTGTTTTATGTGGTTAAGAATAAAACCCCAAGGAAGATGGGTTCCTGATAAGAAAATAAGAGTGTTTATTTCAGCTCTTATTTGTAATTCTTGATTCTTTTTCATTATTTTAGTCCTTTTTTCACTTTGGCATTATGATTAATACTCCTTCAACCTAACTTATAAATTTGAGAATACAGATGTTGATAGAGGAGGAAAGAAAAAAACAAAACTAAGTATTTGTTGAGAGTTTGCCATGTCTCAGCCCTTTTGCTAGATTTCTTTATGTACATTAGGACTGTACCACTTAATGCATAAAAACCTGAACACTTTACATATAAAACCAAGTAGTCCAAACCCAATCCAGTTTAAGAAAGCTCCTATTAGATTTTAGTTTTCCCTCAAAAAATGAAAGCTTAAACAATTTTAAACTTATGAGTAGTTATGCTACAGATCTATTTCTTGATTATACTATAGCTGGCTTTTTTTTTTTTTTTTGTCAGTCATGGGACTTGAACTCTGGGCCTGGGCACTATTCCTCAGCTCTTCAGCTCAAAGTGAGCACTGTACCACTTGAGCCACAGCCACTTCCAGTTTTCTGAGTGGTTTATTGGAGATGAAGTCTCACAGAGTTTCCTACCCAGACTGGCTTTGAACTGCAGTCCTAGATCTCAGCCTCCTGAGTAGCTAGGATTACAGACATGATCATATCAGCGTAAATCTATGTCAAATTGTCAGTCTGCTTTTAAATATCAAATATTGCCATGATCCATTACTATACTTACCTTAAGAATCTCTTTTATAAAAAAGTCATTGACTTTTATATCAAAATAATTGAATATTTTTTCAACATTAGTAAAAAGGATTTTTTTCTGATGTATGCTGGTACTGGGGCTTGAACTCAGGGACCATGTGCTATCTAAAGACCAGCTCTTTTCACTCAGTGTTGGTGCTCTACTACATGAGCCACAGCTCCACTTCTGGCTTTTTGCTGGTTAGAGATAAGAATGTCAAGGATGACACTCTTGATGCTTGGTCTGGCTTTGAATCCTCTGATCTCAGCCTCCTGAGAAGCTAGGACTGCAGGTATGAGCCACTGGCATCCAGCTCAAAAGGATATATTTTTACCATTGAAATAATTGTTTAAAAAATCATTATGTTTTTAATGATAAGGGTATCTTTTTTTCTAAAGTAGCTTTTTGCTGATGCATAGATAGCTTTCAGGATGAGGGTAGGTCACCAAAAGACTAAGCCTTGATTTGGAAGCTTAGAACTTTTAGCCTATCCTTCAGTCTTCCAGGAGCTAACACTAGTGGCCAATGATTTACTCAAGCATACATGGGTAATAAACCCTTCATAAAAACACTAAATGACAGGAGTTAGGGAGCTTCTAGGTTGGTGAATACATAGAGGTGTTGGGAGGGTGGTTTGCCTATAGAAGACATGGAAGTTCCTTGTTTTACATGTCTCTTCTATTCTGTTATTCTAAGTTTTACCCTTTATAACAAGCTGGTAGTAGCAAGTAAAGTATTTTGCTGAGTTTTGTGAGTCATTGTAGTAATTCTCCTTGGGAAGGTAGCTGTTGTGGACACTCTAATTTGTAGTCAAGTCAGAAGTGTGGTAACCCAATACCTGATACTTAGACCTGGTATCTGAGGGTTGGGCCACCTTGTGAGACTGAGCCTTACATTTATTGGGCCTAATGCTAACTCTTGGTAGTTAGGATTGAATTGAGTTACAGAACAGTGTATTAGTCAACTCACTGTTACTATAACCAATGTCCATAGCAATAAGTTATAAAGAGAAAAGATTTATTTTCACTCC